TACATTTGACAAGTTAATGTTTTAGATGATATAAAACATTCAAATATGAAAAAGGAAAAAAAGAGGAATGCAGAGGGGGTAATTTTTTTCCCTATGCAACATGCAGATTTGTTTGTAATACAAAATTAAACATTACTAATTACTGTAATCATAAATTAATGAATAAAATCATATAAAATCATATAAACACCAAAATCAAAATCGAATGAGTAATAAAAAAAATACATATTTCTTACTCAAAATAAATAGTCTTTTTGAACTGCACTTATTCAAATGTGCAGCAAGTTGTTTTCCCTCTTTATAGCAGTTCTGAAAAGCTAATGTTTCTGACGAAATTCTCATATTGATTTAAAGAAAACATTTACGATTGAAAATCTTTAGGAGACATAAAATAACATTGTAAAATAGAACAATAGAAATTGAGTTCAACCATTTTCCAAAAGAAAAGGAAGCTTTTTCAAGGTTACCCCTCATTCTATACACATCATTTGGATATATATAATCTACTCTCTATATAATACATGTTATTTATATTTACAATTATAATATATAATGATAATTTTTACATTTCCAAATCATATTTATGTGTGAATAAGTTTATACAAAAGTATTAGATACCAAATATAAGGTAGGAATAAAGAGAACCTGATTTTAAATTATAAAGGGATAAACTGATTTAGCTAAATGTTTAAATATTAATGGCAATAGCCACCAGAATCCAGCTTAATCTAAAAAATTATAATGGCTTCCTTGTTTTTGGGGGTCATCTGGTAAAATATCTGTATTTCATAAATATCCAAGCTTGTTGTAATTGTCACGATGTCATGATGTGTTGCAAGAAAGTTAAAAGATCCTGTGTTATTTGTAGACATCCAAAAGGTGATAAAAGCTTCTTGGAGCTGCACGCCCCAGCAAGCTTTTATCTTTAGTTCTCACCATGAGTAACTCTGCAGCTAATGAGTCCAGATTTTTTTTTTCCCCGCTAATGCTATTTGAACCAAAGACGACATGGTTAAGGTAAAAGCTGGAGGTCAATTCAAACCAGACCCTTATAAGTCCGGACTTTGCTAATGAGACAAGTGTTTAAACATCTCCAGATCTGAAAGTTAGTTGTTATCCATATGAAAAGCACCCTCAGGTGCTTTTTTACTGATACAGTGAGTTCTTGCTGCTGCTGAACAGGAATGTGATAAATATGCATTTAAGTCTTCTAGACTTCAGCCCTAAGCTTCTTTGAATTGTTGCAAAAAAATCTAATTAAATCACCAAGTTAAGATAACATTAACATCTCTAAAGACAAGTCATTTTCTAAGACAGCATCTGTGCGTTCAACATGACTGTTAAAATAATGTTCATTGGACTTAGTTTCAAACTGATTTGTTGTGTCAACAGAGAAGCAGAAAAGTTTTCCACGTATTATTGAAATCTTTACTTTGAAAATGAAAACAGCCAATTCTAGGAAAATAAGCTTAAACCAATGGAGAAGCATAGAGGTGTGAATGTCATTACCTGGGGATGCTCTCTTTCAGTATATTTAATAAAGTAAACGAGACAAATTCTATAATTAAAATGAATAAATCTGAAACACGGCATGGCAAGTTAATCCACTGAGGACCTGCTGAATCATTTGACTTGCAGCAGACACCATTAAAATTTCTCCCAGCTAAAAAAAACAGGAGTTGATCTAAGGTTAGACACAAGTATCTGAATATTTGGTAATGAAAACAAAGAACTAAATATTTAAAAAGGATATCCTGATCTTTTTCACATGATCGTAACTTTTGCACTGTTGACATCTTGTCCTTAGTTCTAATCTGATTTTGACTGTTTTTCATGTGTGTGTGTGGCAAATGTGATAGTAACTGAAACCTGAAGGCACAGAGTGAAGCTTGTGTGTTTTTTTTTTTCTGTCTGTCATCACAGGCACTCTCTTTAAGCACACACATAATTGTCAGCGTGTCTGCACACTCACCCACGCTCACAGACACACAAAAACACACACACATGTTCCCACTGCTCTTTCTGCTGTGCATTCCAACACTCATCAATATCACAACCAGCAGTCCTTCGCCTACATTTCATTGCTTCACATTTGTGACCATATCAGTGTGCCTGCGGACGACCGCAGCAGGACTTTGTGCAAATAACGAGCAGGAGGAGCTGAGAAATAAATTCCACTGTTCAGTCCCATGTTTTCGTGTCAGACATGAGAAGAGGATACTTAGGTTGAAATTAGATTTTTCTAAAGAAAGCTTTCCGCTTACAAGTTAAATGTTTGAAAAGGATAAAAGCTTGTTTTCAATTACCGTTTCAAAGAGATTCCCTTTCTGTGGAGGAAAGAAGATGAGTGAGCCCCGGTTTTGCTGAAATTGAAGGAAACTGATCCAGCTATTCATTTTATTTTCCCTTTGTATTTATGTGCTTCTTTTCTTTAACAGCAGCAGGGAGTAGGGTGCTCTGAGGCAGGGAGGCTAATTGTCTCAAGGTGTGGAGAGAGCTCAGCAGGCTGATGCTGAGCAGCTCTGCTTCCAGCTGTGTAAGAGGGTAGAAAAAAGCAACAACAACAAAGAAATATAAACAGGTAGAACCTGAAAAGATACAGATAAAAAAAAATAGAAAAGAGATTTAATTAAAAAAAAGAAAACTAGAGAAAAATATGCATTAACATATTCAGGATAGAGGAAGCTGTAAAAACACAAAGTGCATAAAAAACAAAGAAACAAGACAGTACAAATAAATATACAAAAGAAGTGTGGATAGTATGAAGCCACAGGCAGGCCAAGTTGAGTGTATATCTGTCTGAGGGTGGTGGTGGTGGGGGGGTGTTAGGGCCCCAGTGGGGGTTTCTTCCAGAGTTCATCTCTCTTGAACGAGGGAAGGAAAGGGAGGAGGTGCGGAGGGAGGGGGAGTATGTCTCGTACACCAAGTGTCCAGACTTTGCAGAGTTTGGGGCCAGCGTGGCCCGCCTGCTGCACAGTTGCACCTCAGTGTGACTGAGGGGAGCTCCAGGAGGGGAGGATAGCTGTGTCCGCTTGAAGTAAATTAAAAAAGAGTTCAGCTTGGAGTTTACCATTGTAAAAGCTTCGGGTAAATGGGGAAAGATGATGGGGAACATTGAAAAATTCCTGTTAACATGAGGGAATTGAGCTAAGTGAGCTTCAAAAAGTACAAATTGTAGCCAGATGATTATGTGAATTTACTCAATTAATGAGAGTTCAACTTTGTCCTCATGACTCAGTTGTTTATGTTTTAAAGGTAATTTATCTTAATTGCTGCTGTCAAAGAGTCGGAGATGTAATGATTAGAAATTGAGAGGACAGTTTTATAAAACTGTGACCTGTTGGTTCTTAAATTAAAGAGCCTATAGCTTTAATGCAAAATGCAAAAATCTGTGTTTTTTGCAATTGCTATTCCTTCATCAAAATCACGCACAAAGTCCCATTTTTCTTGATTGATGCAAATCAAAGTAGACTACATGAATTCTATTCTGAGCAGGAGCCCCCTTCCTGTCATGGAAAATGAGTGACCATCGTCATTTTTAGGTAGAGTAGTGTTCAACGGTTCCTTTCAGGAATCACCTACATTTACAGTGCCACACAAGCCCAGTAAACAATGCATCTAAAGAAGGAGTTTGATACCGGTGCTGCAGAAATAGGGTTAGCCTCACTGGGTTATTACTATGAAGGCAAGTGTCTTTCTTCTAGGTTAGAAAAACAGATCCAGTAAAAAATTTATGTTATATGGAATATGGATTCTCCATAGTGCCAAAGGCATATGATCTTGCTAGTAAGATGAATTGTTAAGAGATTTGTGAATTCACAAACTCACGATAATGACAGATGTATGTAGAAATTGGTCTGAAATATTTCTGTGTTCTTGCTGGCTTTAGGGGGGGCATTTAGGGCACAGATTAAGAACTTCCAACAACACAAAACATGTAGAAGCCGAAAACGGCTACTTCCAAGAGCTGTTCTCAATCTCTTGATCGAAGTAATATTTATGTGTCAAATCATAAGGAGCTGTCTCCTTGAATATGGCTCCATAGATGGTATGTCAAAGTGACATGACTGGGCAGCAGATACCTCATGGATTGTTCAAGCATAAACCAGGATTTATTCCACTTCTTTACCAGATTTAACAAGGGACTGGTGATCTCAAATCCAGTATCCTTCTTGAAAGACAGAATTTCAATTCCAGTTGCTATAATATGCTCAATTTCCTTTTCTTTTTCTTTTTTTTTTGTATTGGATCTCTCTGTTGCAGCAAACCAAATGATAAGCTAACACATTTTAATGTTAAACTGGAGTTTTACCTCTCGATTGTCACTACAGGAATGTTTGGCGTGCATCAATGAGTCGATGCAATCAACTGGTTTTCCATAGAAAACTTTGAATAAATTTAACTGTATGATCTGGTTGAATTGTAAATTGTCTGGAGATGACGTGTTATGAATTGGTGCTATATTGTTGCTCCATGTCAGATAACCACGGTTATCTTTTCCTTATCATCTGTTGTTTATTTCATGCACATTAACAAAATTTCAAACAAAAAAATAGAAAAACAGGAGTATATTCCAGGGTATGGAGTTTTATGACTTGTGACTTTTGCATTTAGCAATATACAATAGTTAGCCTACTGCACTAGTAAAGCAGTTAAAGTAGGGAAATCTGGAAATGAAATCCTCACCAGGATGCTTCTCTTTGTGCTTATCTTTCCATCTGCACAAAACCTCAAACTAATCTATGCGAGTGGAGATTTCTTTGTATCATTTTAGCAGAAGGCAGCCACGCTTTTGCTGTTTGGAAGAGAGAAAACAAAGAAATCAGAAACCGAAAGAAAAAACATTTGTTCTCATTTTTTCCCCTATGAAATATTTAGACTTTAGTTTGAAAACTTGGAGCGAGAAAGGGAGGAACGGGGTGTATGGTATCTGGTCAATCAGAGAGCAGCGACACACCTCCTCAGGCTTGTTTTCCCTCCCTGAACCCCACCCCACCAACTCCACCACAGCAGATAGTTGGCTGTGAGTGTGCTGGAGTGTGAGAGGCCCACAAAGCCAGCAAGAGGGGAGGTGAGATCAGTTACAGCAGGCAGGGCAAAAGCAGGCAGCCAAGCAAGTGATCTAGGAACAGAGATAGACTGGAATAAAGAGAGAGATAAAGGTAGGAGGAAAAGGCAGAAAGAAGAGGTTTGGTTCATGTGAGGAGGAAAAGAACAAGACCAGAGGGCAGAGGCAGACAGATAGGGAACACCTGGACCAAGCAGGGCATTGAGTTACTCCAAAGGAAGCTCCTTTCTGGGCTCTTCTCCCAGCTCACTGCTCTCTGAGACAACATGTTTGACTGTATGGAGGCTCTTGGGCTGGTTCCTCGGCCACTCTTCGATGTGTCCAGCCAGGGCTCCTGCATGCTGGGCAAGGCCACCCCTTACTTTTCCAGGCTGGACCCTTTTTCCTGGACGGGGGCGAGCAGCATTCAGTGTGAGTCCAATCTGCCTTTATGAACAAAGCAAAGCAGTAACTCTGACTGCTTGTGTTTCTCTGTGAGTATGCTGTTGCTGTTGGAGTCATGGTCTTGTTATCACGGAGGGAGCTCTCTCCACAGGAAGCGTCAGATTCCTTTCGATTATATGTGCCCGTTCTCACCCTGCAGCTTGTTTGTTTATGTGCTTAGGGTGCTTTGTGAGTGTGACTGAGTGAGTTGGGGAGTGTATTTATACATCACTGGGTTTGTTTTCTTTATGAATGACTTCACATGATTGACAGCTCTTTTAAACAATGCAGGGGAATTAACCCAGTGATGTGTCCAGAAAAGAGCAGAGTCCAAAACAGAAACAACACTGACAGGCCGAGGGGAAATGGGCCTTAAAAATCACATGCTGGCTAAAACACTCAATAACAGAGATGGAGTCATTTCTACACACACAGACAATAAAAAAGACAAATTAAGTTGTGAGCAGAATGAGCAATCTATAAAATTTCTTTAAGGACAATGCAAAAGTTTTTTTAAATTACATCATGTTGCAAGAGGCTGTTGAAGAAAAGAAGTCAGTAGCTGACAGATAAAGCAGAAACCACATGATTCCTGAGCCATGCAAGCAAGACATTCTTCTGATAGCTGCTGAGCAGGAAAGGCACAGATTGCATCAGGCTTTCAGGTGTTTTACCAAATCCTATCAGCACACGAAAACACTGCTAAGATTAAAAAAGAAGAAATCTCACTTTATCGACTGAAACAATGGCCAGTTTATTTAACTATTTCCATATATTCTGTTCGACTCACTGAACAGTTTTGTTCATCACTTCTCTGCAGTGATTAAGAAGGTCCCAAAAGAGCACCTTAAATCCATTTATCTGCTGTAATTATTCAGATACCAGTGCATTAAACACTGTTGAGTCCACAGCGCTCGCTAATGATGATGGATGAGCAGTCAGGATGACAAACACCACAGCAGGGCCTGTTTCAACTCGCTGTGGAGCTTTGCCAGATGCCACCCTGAAAGACAAATGTCCACAAGTGCTCATTAATCATGCTTTTTTGTACTATAACTTAAATTTGGTTTAGTTTCTCTTTTTTTTTTTGCTGTTTTCAACCAATATGGTTTAACAGCAGTGCAAAAAATAGTTTTCCCTCAGCTTAGATATTTAATTTTATCACAGAGTAATCAAGGAGATCTTTGTAAGAAAATATCTCCCCAAAACAAATGATTTTCTCAGCATTTATTGTCTTTTTCAATGAAGTTACCACAGTTGAACTACGATGTCTGTTTTGGATCCAAATGCTTAAACTGTTATTTAAGCAAAGATATTGGCTGAAAAGAGCTCAAGCTGGTTTTAGTTGATGGTTAAATGAATCTGCCTCCTTTCAGCTTGTTCTAAAATTAAAAGACAGTGTTTTGTTTGTGGATTGATTACCGACTGAAAAAAGGAAAGATTCTGTCCTAATCAAAACCATCTTTATATAGTCTCTTATTTAAATAGACTCTCTGATTAAAGTCTCAATGAATAACTATTTTTACGTCCCATTCTATTTTTAGACTCTCCTTGTGTGAGTCACAAGCCCTTTAGTGTCCCGTTTTTATCAAGAAAAGTGTTTTTGTATTTTTCTTTTCATCCTTAAGATGCACTTTGGTAGATTAACAGTACATGTAAAAACATCTTTATATATTGGAAAGGAATTTCCCACCAGGAAGTTTAAAGGGATGCCAAAAAATTAGGAAAAAAGGTAAAACACAGAGATCAAATTACAATTGTTGTGTGTTCAATATCCTTTAACACAACCAAAGTAAAAAAAATAAATATAAAAAAAAAAAAAAAAAAAAAAAGAAAAAAAAAAAAAGAAACCTTAAAGGTGCATTGAACCAGGTGACAGGCTCAGAGTTTTCTCCTTCTCTAGTCACCAAAGAATAACAGTGCTTGAAGCTCATACACTTGGAGAAAGACAAATTCAACCATTTTAAATTACTACCAGGAGTAAAAAAGATGGCTTCTCTGTAAAGACCAAAAACTACACAAAATATCATTTTTAAACTACTCCTAATTACTTCCCCTATTCTATATTTTTCACAGATATTAATATCCAATAAGTGCCATAGACAATTTTGTGATGTTGCTATACCGTGTTAACGCTTATAATAATCAATATGTCCTTCATTTTAATGAAATAAACACATTTAGAGAAAAATCAAATAGAACAACTCAACTGATATTGAACATTTATTATGTACATGTTCTTGATATCATAAAACTATTGCAGCTTTATAATGGTTATCAATCCATGATGCTGACTCTGGAAGATATTTCAGGTTGTTTTTTTGGGGGGAGAAACAAAAATTAACAAGCAAAAAAAACAAAAAAGTTGGTTATTATAAATGTGGAAATTTGTAATAACCAACTGAATAATAACTTCAGATGGAGCTTTGAATCCACTTCTAAATAACCCCTTTATATATTTTTTTTTTCTTTGCCTCAGATCAGCAGCTCTCTTTCTTCCTTTGTTTTAGCTTCTGTTGGTATTTAAGGCAAGACAGACATGGTAAACTCTGCTTGCCCCCTTTTTTAATGTTTGTTTGTTTTATCCAATAATGCTTGTTTAATATTTGCCAGCATGTGGACCACCTTACACCTCTTAGGCTGTGTAAAAGCAGCACTTTTGATTAATCGGCTACAATAAGAAAGAGCTAATTCAGTGATTTAGGCGGTGTTTGTGGACATTTGTCTCTTAAAGGAGAAGAGGGATGAGAGAAGAATGGCAGGATGAATCTGGAATTTGGGATTTAAGGTATTTCATGCCTTTAGGGGAAGCCATTCTCCTCTTCATTCAGTGATAATCTATTTTTGTCCCCTGGCATCGACTTTAAAGTTGGCTCTTCAAAGCTGGCCGGATACTAGCACCTCATATCGTGAAGCTGACAGAACACAGTGAACTACGTAACATTAGGGAGATTCTGCTGTTACAGTCACTATCCATACTTAGATGTAGAAGTGACTTGACTTTTATCTGTTGTAGAAGTTACATTCAACACGTTTTTCTGCGGCATGTGATATTTTCTTAGGAATTATCATTTATATAATATCTTCGGTTGAATGGCGGTCCACAAGAGAATCTCATATTTGCATTAATATGACTTTTAAAGTAATGAAGAAACACTTTTAAACAATTTTCAATCTATTTTTACTAAGACACAAATAAGTCATTTGCGCATCTAAACTGTAGCAGCTGGTAATAGATCATTTATCTAAGAAAGCCTCTCTGACTGCACCCAGTCACTGACTTTGTTGAGACCAACAGGCCTGAGCAAGCATGAGATGAAAGTGGACAGAAAAATGTTAATCTACCAAACCTGTATTCTGCAAGAAAGGATCTCTGCTGGGAACAAATGGAAAAATCAGATCCCAAATATAAGGTAGAGCTTCATTATTTTCTTTTTTATGTAAAGACAAGAATAATAGATTTTGAAATTTTGACCAGAACAACATGAATATTTTCTGTATTTGCTTAAGAATATTAATTGATTCAAGTTCATAAAACACTGACATAATGAAAACACATGCATGTGCAAGTATCTCTTTGGAATTGAATAAATTCCAAGAGTTGAAACTTACCACCTTGTTTGAATTAATAGAATGTATGTAGGTTTCAGACAGTAACCTGCAGAAAATATTATTTTAACTGTGAGAAATCATTGAATTTTGATCTAAATGATTTCTGAAACTGAAAAGGTCACACTTACTGTATATATATATATATATATGAGCAAAAATAAACCAGAGCTTTCAGAAGAACAGCTTTTTTCTCTGTACTTTTAAAACTTTTTGCATCATGTTGCACATTTGTTTGGGTTTATATCTCACCCTGACCAGACCCACTTTGAAATAGATGACATTTAATGTCTAGTCGTCACATAGTCTTCCTCTAGGCCTAAATATCTCCAGCTAAATTTAGATGCAGACTGCAGTGGAGATGTTTAGGTAACTTTTTTTAAACCTTCCAAGCTCAAACATTTAAAGCAATAAGCATATTTTGTCAGAAAAACCCCCAGAAAACAAATAAAACTACTACTTTGTATTGATAAAAGCTAGAATATATGGAAAATATAAGGGAATCTTTAAGATGATTATACAAATAAAAATGACCTCAGCTGTTTTTCTACTACTCCATTGGTTGAAAAAAAAAGCTTAAAATGTTTGAGTTCTATACAGTTCTATGTTTAGTGCTCTATAAATATTTTAAAGAGTTCTATACAGTTCTATGTTTTTTGATCAGTAAAAATACCACACATATGTGCATGTTATGAAATACATTTAAAAACTATTATATATTTTAAGGGTGTGACTTGAAACTTTTTGTTGAAGGTATTGAATCAAACCGCTTAATGACTTTTATTAATACCAAAGCTAAAAGTCCTTCTAGACAAGAGGAACAATTATTCGGTCATGTGTAACTGTGTTTAAATTAGAAACATCCAAATGCAGGGATTTGATTTATTTATATATTCATTTTTAAACAGTTTTTCTTTTTTTAGCTTGAACTGATATTGGCTTTTCATTAATATTGTTGTTAAGATGGTGAAGATTTTATCATGATTTTATCAGAAGATTGAATCTAATACTTTTTAAATCAGCTCAGAATCTTTATACTAGAGCCACTTTATTATTATACAGTATTGAAGCAGATTAGCAATTTAGTTTTAGTTTTAGTTGTTGGTGTTTAAACTTTGCCTATATCAGCCATTACAGACTTTGTTTTTTTAAGTTTGAAAATGTTTTAATACCTTTCTAATGTTTAAAAGGTTAGTCGGGTTTTATAGAACAACGGTAACTGTACAGTTAAATTGGTGTAAATAAAGTGTGATAGAAAGTCAAAGGACCTTCTTATAGGAGAACTTTTCTACTTCTAGTAATACAAAAACCTCTATTTATGTTTCACTGATCTCATGTGATACATCAATATAGATACTAATAATATCTGAAATCCTGTA